GGTGAAGAGAAGCGTGAGAAAATTATGTGAACTTGTTCTTAGCAGGGAAAAAAAAAGGTGAAATTGTTGAGACACCAGCTATTCAGCTATGATCACTGCATTGTATAGAATTCTATTATGTTTCCCTCTTTACTCTACTGATGCTACGTACAGTATTACTAAATTTCACCAACTTTTACTGTTACTGTATCAATCACTTTTTCCCCATATATATCGCTGCCGCCTTATTCCGCTGCCCTCGTCCTAAAATCATTGCTATCTGCTAGCTCCACCATAGCCAACGCCTCTTTTGATGGCTAGCTTCAGAGATAGCTGAAGGTTTTGAACAGAGATGGCAAGCTAGCAAACAGTTTTTTATCAAGAGCCACCATTATTTTGGTAATTAACATTCATGTCACGAGAACAACGATTCAATTTGGTTGCGTTATAATTTAGGGTTAAAGGGTTGAATTATTTAGCGAGAAATGTTGGGTACTTCAACTATTATCCTTTGGTAAAAATGGGAGGATGAGGTTGATAATATTCCTCCTTTTCATTCTCCTATGATTGATAATATTAACAAATGGATGTAGCAAAAGTGGTAGCGGACTAAACCCTTTAAATATTTTTTTCAAAATTTGATTTTTGAAGATGTATGAAGAGCGTTACTTGAAAGAGAATAATTTTTTATATGACGGTCAGATTCCTTAAAAATTAACATCATGAACGCCAAATGTGAGAATATCTTTGAAAACACCAAAAAAAAAAAAACATTGATAATATTTGGTTTGTCAGATAAAGATTTGCCAGTGAAAAAGAAAAATAATATCATTATAATTGACATGTTTATACGTGTGCATGCTTATGTGAAAGGGCTAATTTAAGAGTCGTTGTGCTCGTTATCTTGGCGTAACTTGCCATATAAACCAGGTCAAAGGCTCTCGGTTAGTTAATTATGCTTTAAGAATTAGATCCTGTCAATATTATAGATTGAATTCCCGAATTAGAGATATTTATACTAAATTATTTTGAATCAAAAGTAATTACTAATTAAGCTATAAGAAACGATTGAAAAAATTTAATGAGCAGCGAAATATAAGGGAAACAATATGCTAAACCATCTCGTGAAGATAAATTATAATTATAATAGAGAACAAAAATAGTATAATATTCAGTATCAAGCTATCATCATGCATATCCATGATCGGAGAGTTACATGGGTTTTAGATATTGCATGATTATACTGAATCTAAAAAATAATTACTACTAATGTAAGGAAACAATAAAATGCTGAAATTGTCATAATAGTTATAGCCTTATAGGATATACTCTTCTAATTTTATTTATAAGGTAGAGAAAGAAAGAAAAAATTTAATCACATTTATAGAGTACGTGCCAATTTTCAATGCTCATCTTTACAATTTTGCCCTTATTAAAATACTTTGAATAAAAACAAAAGAAATTAAAAGAAAATAATTAAACGGTCGTGGATTATGTTCAACTCAGCTCATGCAAGCAGCATCTGCACTCAGTGCTCATCACAATATCCTGGCCCTTCATTTTAGCCTAAATGCTCTTGGCCCTTCATTTTAGCCTAAAATGATATTTGCTGTTTTTTTAAATTAATATTTAAATATTTTTAATATTATATTTATTAAAATAAAAAATATAAAAAATTTTAATATTAAATTTAGACTATTTAGAGTATATTTAAATGGTTAGTTTGTAAAATTTATAATTTTTTTAATATTAAATTAAGTCATTTAGATTATATTTAGACTGTTCAGAATCTATTTGGATAGTCAAATTATAAAATTATAAAAAAATTTAATGTTAAATTGAAATGTTAGATTAAATCTATATTATCCATATTAGTAATGAACAGATTCATTAAATTTTTTTATTTTTTATATTAATAAATGTAATATTACAAATATTTAAAAATTAATTTAAATAAATAATAGAGATCAATTTGGATCAAAATGGAGGCCCTGATCTTGATGAGCACACAGTTCTCATCACTTGCAAATCCATGCAAGCAAAAGCATATATCTTCCATTCAGCTCTTTGAAAAATGGAATTTCTTTTTAAATGCTACCTCCCTACTTATTTATAAGCTATTTTTGATTTTTTTTTTGGGCCAAAAATAGACGTTACTACCCTACAGCACTAGCAAGAAAGCAGTAAGCATCCTCCAGAGGTAGGAAATGAAGGCCAACCCAACAAGCGATGCTAATGAGATGGGCTTCAAAATCATCCTCCTGCAAACGTATCCGAGATCAAGAGTTCATTCCTGACGAAACATACTTTGGCATTAAGAGATCAACTCCTAGTGAGCGTGAAAATTGCTAAGAGACATAATAAGAGTAAGGGCCCGTAACGAGACCACCATCCCAAGCTCTTATAAGAGTAATAAAACAAGTCCAAAGTTTAGCCACAAGAGGATTCTTTCAGATAGTTCAAGCTTAAAAGCTTCTAAAAGAGATTGATGATTGTCGTGGATGATACCCCCACAACCTGTATTATAATTAAGATGAATAGGCTCCATCAATACAAACACTGATCTAACCTTCATGTACTAATGGAGGATCTCCCACGTCCTTCACAACATGCCAAATTGAATATTTATTCTTTTCAAACTTACCTGTAGAGTTGAGAATAAGGATTGAGCTTGATGGGTTACTCATTTAAACTCATTTTTAAATGAGTTTAGACTTAAAAAGAATAATATTTTTTAGAGAATCGGGCTTTGAAGATCAACCATAATAAGCCTTGAAAAAACAGGCTTGGATAGCTCTTTTTTATTTTAACTCTAAAAAAATAAAATATTTTTATTTTTTAAATTGAATTTAAACTTTAAAATATATATTTATACTTTAAAATTTAATTTTCTATTATTTATTTATAATTTTATTTTAAATATATATATTATAGTTGAAAATTTTAACTTTTAAAGAATCTAAAAAATAAATAATAATAATAATAAAAGATTTGTATGCAAACCCTTGAGCTGTTTGAATAAAAATTAAATTTTAAAAATTAAATAATTTTTAAAAAATTGAGCTTGAAGGCCAAGCTCTTAAAAGCTCAAGCTCACATGGACTTGGCCGGCTGTTTTCCACCTCTACTTATACGTGCATCATTATGATTACTAACATGCCCTTGGCTCTTAGAAAAGAGATGCAGGGTGCAAGTAACGTTATTTTCAAATATTTTGTCATTCTTATGCTTCTAAATGAGCTAGCAAAAAACAACACGTGGCTCCTTCCAATATCCTTCAACCCGCCCCACATTTGCAGTCACGTTTAAACGGTACAATTCCCACAAATTACAAATAAAAAATATTGTGAGAAGACTCGGCTTGATGATAGAAATCCACACAGCTTTTATTTCCTCAGTCGCCTAAAACATGGATACTATCTCCCTCCACGTGATGACACCAGGCACAAGAAGTGGAACCACTCATGTCTCGATCTTTTCTAGCTTCTTTTGTCAAAAGCTTATTGTGAAGCAGTAACCAAGCGAAAATACTTACATTTCTGGGGACTATTCAATTTCCAGAGTTTATTCCAAATGAGGAGCTATTTTTGATGTTTTAATTTATAATTTATTTTACAAATTTCATTGAGAAATTAAAAATTCTTGTATTATTTTTATATGGATATTATTGAGTAATTATAGTAGAGAGGGAGATTAAAAAAATAAGTAATATTATGTTAAAATTTATTATATTTAATTAAGGGTACTTCTAAAACGTAAGATAATTTTAAAGTTATTGCTAATTTTAACTAGTCTTTTTTCTGTATATGTCTGGCATAGAAATGAGATAATTTTTATGGCTAATTTTACTAGTCTTTTTTCTGTATATGTCTGGCATAGAAATGACATAAAGGTGATAATTTTTTTTTTGACCAAAACATAAAGGTGATAATTAATATTGATAATTTGATGTTGACATTAAATATAAAATTTAAAAGGATAATACTTATATACTTACCCTTTTATATATTTAACATGCTTTCATTAAATTAAATTAAGACATGTAAATTTTAATATGTTATTAGTAAAAATTTATTATGAAATAAATAATATTTAATAAATATATATCTTAATTTAATTAAAAATAAATTTTTTAAATATATAATGATAAGTATATAAGCTTTTTTTTATTTTAAAAAATGTTTTACAAGCCTACAGCTACACTCAAAACACGAAGCGTTAACTGTTTTGACTTGTGAGGCCCAACAAACAATGTTCGGTGGCGCATCACTTGACTTGTGAGGCGCGCGACAATACAAATAAGTTACATGAAACTATTTGAAATTCTCAGGTCCGAAGGGAAAACTTTTTTTTTTTTGAACGAACGAAAGGAAACTATTTTGAAATCCATTTTCTCTCATGTACAAATGGACTTTTATAATATACACATCACATTGATTAGCTATAGAAGAGGAAACTAAAAAAAAATTAAAATTCAACAACTCTCAGTAAAAATTAATAAGTTGTTTTTAATTCCATCTCCATTAATATTAAACACACACATATAGGTAGATATTAATAGCATATTTTTCTTACTAATATTTGATCTGATGAAAGGGGAAACTTACAATGAAAAGTTAATAATATACCTTATAAGTATGATTAAAAAAATCTCTTTTGCTGTATTATATAAATAAGACGAGAAGGAATATATATTATGTGTACACACACGTGTGTATATGGATATATGTATGTGTGTGTATTAAGTAATTCACACACACATACACATCTGTGTGTATAATATATGTATACGCGTGGATGCATGTACTTTTTTTTTTTTAACCAGCATTTATGTATGTGTGGAAATATCCATTCAAAAATTATGAATTACTTAATATATTGACTTCTTTTTATAAACATAGTTTTTCCCCAAAAAAAAAAACTAAACAGAGAGGTTATAAGCTTAGCAGAAGCCATTGGCATGATTAAATTCCGTAACCCTCGTTGCATCCCTCATTTGTGTTTGTCTTTACAAAAATGCACGCAACTCATCACCCTCTCTCCCCAACACCATACCACCACCTCCGTTATCGATCTCCTCCGTTCTGTCATGGGTTGTGGCGCTTCAGTTTTGGGTCCTGAGCACCATCCCAACAACCCCTTCCACTACAAAGTCGCCCGACCCATCAACGTCGAGGAGCCTCCCAAAGCCTCTCCTTCGCCCCTCAACAACGACGCCGTTTTCTCCTTCCGCTTCATGCCGGCCGACCATGACGAGGTCGGAGTCAAAGAGGCCATGCAACATGGCCCCGCAAAGCCTCCGTCCGTTAACGTTCTTCCACCCACCGTTGAGATTGAGAGGGATGATGCCTTCTCCGGCGCTGCGTCCCCCAGTTTCAGGGAATATTGCGTCCACTCCGGATCTTCCAGTGATATAGAACACTCCCACGATGACCCTGACATGGCCGAAACCACCGACAACATGGGTGAACGAATATATCATGATCCCAGGTTTTTGATCAAGGTTGAAAATTAAGGCTGTCATCTAATGGTTTTGCTGCTCTCTGCGTAGGTAATGACGATCCAATATTGGTGGGCAAGAGCAAGCCATCGAGGAAGGAAATCACCAACCCCAAAAAGGTATTGTCAACTATAACATATAAGGTCGATTGTGTTCCATGAAATAATTCGCTCTGTTAAATGCGCGACCCCTTTGGCAGGAGTCTGAGAAGAAAGAGAGAAAAGGGAGAAGACTTAGGGATGTTATAAACAAGGGAAGATCAGGTGGGAAGAAAATTGGCATCGTTCGCCATAGATCTGACAACATAGCCGGAAGACTCACTTGAGAAGAGAAAATGTGAAGAGCAAGTCCTTAATTCTCATCCATCTGCGAGTGTCGTGGGACTATAGAGGAATCAGGATTGCTTTTTAAAATCCTGAATATTCTCATATGACATATCACATACCAGTTATGGGGGTCAGAAGAAAAGTTTATATACATACATGCTTATTCACCTGAATATTCTCATACGACATTTAACATACCAACAGTTATCGAGGTGAGAAGAAAAGTTTATATACATACTGTACTGGACCTTATATATGCGCAATCTGATATTCTGATGAATAATGCATGGCTTATTCAAATTCTGCTTCCTCCCCTTTAGTTTGCTGTATTTCTTGTTTTATTCACCATGACACTTTTCATGTCTTCAGAGAATTACCAGACACACGTGCGTGATCTATATTATATTCAGAACTGATGATACGCTAAATTTAAACACAGCCTTAGCCTGCAATTCGCACTTCTCTCTACGAAACAAGTTAAGGGCAGGAATTGCACCGCTATATTCTGTCCAATGCTTTCAGAAAAGCTCCTGGTCACATGCCAAACCTTCGTACACATATATAAGCAGATAGGTATGTATAGTAGTAGAGCATAGACTGGACGGTATCGATAAGCCAGGCATATACAAGATTAGTAGCGTACCTAGTCAATCAGCTCTCTTTGTATTTGAATTGGGGCGTCGAAGCTTGCCTCTACAAGATTATAATCTGACGACGAAACAATTAACCGTTTTTATACAATGATAAATGATGTTGCCTTATTTATAAGTCATTGTCCGCACATTTTACCAAAATTAAGGAAAATGTTAAATCTTATTAATCTTGTTTTAAAATTTGATAAGTTTCCACTTCTACCCTTGTAAGGACCAAAAAAAATTATTTAACGTTTAATAAGAGTAGGAAGGTAATGATAAATATTGAAAATAATGAAATGCCTATAAATAGAATTAAAATTAAATTTCTTTCTCTACCCTGTATAAATAGAACCAAAGGATAAAATATTTCATCAATCCCAGCTAATTAAACAATTGATACCAGGATAAGGTCATGAGTTCCAATTCTATGGATATGTTAGGGGCAAATGGAGAAAAATGATATTGTTGAGCAAAAAGAAGGTCGGCCACCATTTCCGGGGAAAAAAAAAAATCTTGTTTTCTATACTGTGACGCTTGGCTCAGATGTTTAATTACAGTGTGTTGAAAATTTATAATGGCAAACCGTTCCATAATTTTAATGGCAAATGATTCATTTTAATAAAGAAGGAAATTAATATATTAGTATGCAATTAATATTTATAACAAATTTCACTTTTCTACTTTTCACAATATTTAGACAATCCTGTTTAATTATTAAATTTTTATGCAACTCAAAGGGCCACCTAGTTTAAAAAAGAAGAAGAAGAAGCTTTTGAAAAGTAATGGATAAAATGTTGCAAATATTGCAATCCGCGCAGCGCTCCCATCTAATCGCATTCGTTCAGTGTAATTTTCCGAAACTGTTTGGTTTGCTACTTTGCTTCTCTCCAGTGCTCATAACTATTAAGTCATAACGAATATGACATGAGGGGAAGGCTTGATAATTACACAAAAAATTATAAAATAATAGGAGGACGAGGATTATTGGAAATTAAAATAGGATGCGTGGTTCATAAAAAATGTTTCACCAAATCAAATAGCCGTCGAGAATTAAGTGTTGAGTTGATGAAAAAAGTGAGAGGAAGTCCTGTCTGTGTTGACTAAATCTAGATTAAATAAAAAGTATGTAACTGATATATGTAACTGATATATATATATTATATATATAATGTATGTATGTATGTATGTATTTCACTTTTGATTCGATATCATATCTTGAATCGAAATATCAGGCATGGGGTTTGTGAATCTAAATATCAGGCATGGGGCTTATGGATCTATATATATATATATATATATGTACCTCCCCAAATTATTAATATATATAAAAGTAAAGTTAAATGTTATAAGAGAATGTCACGTGTCTAATTTTAAGTTTACTGTAATTCTTTGCTTCAGGATGTATTTCTTACAATTCTGTACTCCCGAATCAGTTTGGCGTTAGGTTTGAGATGGATTATTTTTTTTTAATGATATAAAATATATTATTAAGTTTGGAGTTAGGTGTAGGATGATATTATTATTTTTTAGATGTATTAAAAAAATAAACTTTATCTATTTCAAATCCAAATCTGATCCATATTTGAATTAAAATTAATACTTATGTATTTTAAAATTTAGCAAAAAAATATGTGTTTAAAATTTTCTGTCTGTCCTCATGATTTTTGAAAATTTTGATGCATCCTAAATATTTTCCAAAAATTAAGGTTCATGTAATCAATCATAAATAAATTGAATAAAAAATTATTTACATATCTTGGGTGATTTGCAAAATTTCAATCATATAACAAGTGTATATATATCTATTCAAAATTCAAATATATAGTTTTTAGTTATGGGATAAAATATTACTAAATACTAAAATTTAAATTTCTCAAAATCAATTATTATGCTAAATATGATTCAAATTCCAAATAAATGGTACTTTAATTTCAAAGCTTGATTCTGTTTTGAATTTTGAATTAACTTACTAATTACTCATGATAATTATTTATGATAACTATTGATTATATTTATTTATCGATTTAAATTCACATCCTCTAATGCATAATTATATCAATTATAAATATATGTTTGGTTACGATTTCATTCCATATTTTCAGTTTCAACTAATTCATGTAAATTCATGCTCCTTTTTATAGGGTAATCAAATTTTTGCGATTCATAAGACTATCTATTTGTTCATTGGATTTCTTCATTGCTATAAAATTTTTCTTAGTTTCTCCAATTTTTCAAGTAATTTGTTTAGCATACCACACCTATACACAAGCAATCTAACTCCAACATCCACACACTACCTACGAAGTGATTATAAAGCTGACGCCGCTACAATTGACAATTACCCAATATTTTCCTTGCCTCCAAATTTAGTCTCGATTTGCTATAACTTTTCTTAGTAATTATCTCTAATTGGCATACATGAAAGGAGCCTAAAGATGAATTTTCTAAATAGGTAAATAATCTAACTCTATTTTTACATGTCATTATGGTTTGTATCAAATCTTAGCTGGCTTGAATTTTGTATTTTTCTTGGCTATCTATATTTTTTTTTTTGGAATAATGTCTAAGCCCATTGAGATATTGTAGTTCACATAATGGTAATAATATTTCATTGTAATATAAGTTTGCATCTCAATCCCAAACAGCTAATATATAGCTACTAATTTTCTATTACCAAAAATGTATAGTTGAATGACAATTAATCTTTAGATTGAGACTCACCCAAAATTAACTCCACTTGAAGGACAAAAAATGCTCCATCAAGCAAGGATGCTCGTGTAATTAGCTGAACAAAGAGGAAGGAGAAAGTGAAAAGCATAAGAAAAAGCACATAATCACTTTAGAGGAAACTTTGACCATTTTGTTGCGACAAGAAAGGCAAGAATATTGACCATTTATTGCAATTGAAGTCGCTACTTGAGAAGTAGAATCTCAGGCCATTGGATTAATGTTGTCATTTATATAAACAAATGAAGCTAATCTCGATCATACCTAATGACTAATTTGAAGGCAAACTAGGTAACAGATACCAACCTCATGAGTGTTAATTGAAACATCCACATTATTGAATGACAGTATTTTTTTAGTTGTTTATGAAATGAGGCAAAGGTGAATTTCAAGCCAAAGTAACTTCTCCAATGTTTTGAATGTCTTTGCAATTTCTTCTTTAAAAGAGTTTATTTATTAATTTTTAGATTAGTTCAAGATGATATTTTAAATATTAATTAGATATATATATAGAGTAACTAAAAGATACATAGTTTCTAATTTTAATTTTGAAAGATATGTAAATAATGTAATAACGTTTTCTATTTAAATGGCAAATTTTTTTTAATAGAGGAAATGAGACAGAGTTGGATTTGATATTCTTCCTCAATTTATTTTTTAGGGTTCCCTTTTTAGTGATTGCCTTTAAATTGGATGCGGATTATGTGATTAATTAAAAAAATTACCCTAGGTAATGTGTTTTGATTTTATGTAATTATCTAAAACAATATAATATCATCCTATATCATCTCAAATATCATTTTACATAACTATAATTGATTAAGATTTACAAATCTTAATATTAAGATTAAAATCTAAATATATTAGGTAATCAATTACAATTTTTTTAAGATTTTGGAATTTTGTTATTTCTATAATATGATTATGTGGTTCAACATTACTCGTATACTATTTTAAATTTAATTATTTTTTTGAAAAATCTTAAATAGTATAATCTAACTGTTGGGTTGGTTTCGATTTAATTTTTATTATAATATATTTACATTCTAATTATCTTCAAAATATCATTATTTTCATGTCGGGTTTAAGCTTAGTAAATATTTAAATTTAAAATTTAAATATTTATCGAGATAAGTTAATGGTGCAAAACATTATCACAGTCATGTATCATTGGTAAAAGATTTTGCCTAATTAATCATATCTTCTAAAAGTATTTAAAATTTAGATAACACTGTAATTTGAGTAGGATATTTTTTTATGAGATAATTTGAGTAGAATATGTTAATAATCATTTTGGACAACATATTCAGTTATTTTAGATTTTCAAATAATGTACTTAATATTAAAAAGACTTTAGGTTTAAATTTTAAGTTAGAGCAGTAATAAATAATGATTAGATAAAATTTTTAATTTTAATTTGAATTTTTTTGTATAAATATTATCCTAATTATGATTAAATGATATAT